TTGGGTGTCCTTGGTTGTCTATGGCACCATAAGGCTTGGAAAAATTATTTCCATTAGAAGCTTAATTTGGCGACCAAGGGCATTTTTATACTTAAAATTTTTTCATGTTAATATGCAAAGTCAATTCAACATGTATGTAGGCAGATAAGGTTTTGAACTATGAGTGTCTTCATTCTTAAGACAGGTGTCTCGTTTTGTAGGCCAAAATATGCCACCCAAAAAGAAAAGACCAAAGAGCACTACAAACGGGAACACGCCATCCTCTGAGACTTCAAGCCCGGCAAAACGTCGAAAGCAGACAACATCAGCCTCTGTTGACATTGCCGAGCAGGTGAACAACGCTATACAATTAGCCCTGCCAAAAATCACTGAAGCAGTCCTTTCGGCAATGAATAATAAGAGCGAGGAGCATACAGATAAAGCCCCAGAGGTGTCTCAGGAATTACCAAGCACGTCCACGGAGCCGCTTTCCCAGGCTAGCGATGGTAACAGTTTTTCGCTAATACATACATCAGACAGTATTTCTAAACCCTTATCACTCGGGATTGACGCAAAAACAAAAGCAAAAATTTGGGCAAATGAATTTGTAGAGTTCGGGTCATTACTCAAGCCAACTAAAAAAAACGTAAAATTCTCTGTAGAAGAAAAAGATGAAGGTTTGACTTTTGTTAAGGAAAACAATCCATGCAAAATTGAATCCGTCCAACAGTGGTGGGCAGCCTTTCATATTTTCGTCAGCATTTTTTTGTGAAAAACACGTAAACGAGGTATCAAAATTAGTGAAATATGCCAATATTGTCCAAAAGCTGGCTGATCAGTCAACTGCTTCGGCAGCAATCAATTACGATAAAACTTTTAGACAATGGAGAGAAATTTCTCCTGGGGTGCTTCAGTGGGATCGCGTTAACATTGAGTTGTATCAGGAGGCCTTAGCTGCCGGTTTGCAAGCAAAGTATAAATCAACATATCAGAAAACTACTTTTCGTCCCTTCACAAATATCAAAGGGAAAGGGGGTTACACGAAGTCATTCTGTTTCAACTTTAACAACTCCGAGCAGGGAATGTGCAACAGAAAGGAGTGTAAATTTTCCCATTCTTGTCAGCTCTGCGAGGGAGAGCACAGTAGAAAGGTCTGTCCCACTTCCCTCAAATCAACCGCAAATGCTAAAGGAAGACAAAGAGTTAGCAGTAATCATGGTCCGACAGAATTTACAAAGTCCACATCCAAATCAACAAAATAAAAATTTTGAAATTGTTACCCCAGTTAACCCTGATAGGTTACATGTATGGCTATTAAATTACGATATACCTGATAGGGAGTTCCTGGTCTTAGGTTAGTTTCTTCATATCAAACAGAGTTAAACTATTGTCAGTGGGTTTACATAAATAATATTTCCATTGCGCACCTTAAATTTACTGCATTGTCCGTCTAAAGAAAGCGGTAGATTTGTACTATGAATACAATTCACCAATAAATGTTGTCAGGATATAAAGAAGGATACTTTCATTGTCAGACGGGGCTACAGTAAATTATGACTGAAATACACGCAGTCTTAATGAGCTCGAATGACAAAACAAAAAGAAAAAAATTATCTACAATACTATAACTAACCGGTCATACATCCACGGGTATTCCAACTCACTCAGGTAAATGTAGAATAACGTGTTTGAAAAGGAATCGTACACTTCTAATTTTAGATTTATATCAATCTCGTATAAATATATTTATGCCATCCATTTATCTTATGCGAGACAAATGCCTGTATTGTAAAGAATGCGTGAAAACCAGTTCCCATTTGGTCCTGCAGCTTTGTTAATTTTTACTTCCTTAAAACACTACAAGACATTGTTTGATGAATATTGTCATTTATTAATGACGAAAATAACAAATAATTAAGGAATGAAGCTAATTTCAACTTATGTTATCCGATATAACATAACTTGGGGCAGTTTACGCTTTATAAACCGCGAAGCGGTTTTATAAAAAAGCGTAAACTGCCCCAAGTTTTGTTATATCGGATAACATAAGTTGAAATTAGCTTCATTCCTTATAATTCAATTCCAGTGTAGACAATGAGACAATATTTCCTCCGGAAAAAGACTTCAAATTGAGCATTATTTTAAAAGTAACGTCAAGCGGAGTAATACGTTTTTGACGTAACTCATTGTGACGTAGGCAAGTTATGTTATCCAAAATATTATATGTTCCTCTGAATGATTCAGCCAATGAAATTGCTTGATACAAGTGAAATTAAATTATTTACAAATAAACTACCTTAACTACTAGGGAGATCCCAGACAAACATACATAGACTTATTGAGCACCTAATATCACAATGGCAGCGGGATATCCCTAAAGTCTAAGCAAGACATGATTATCATTGCTGAATGTACATTTAGAAGATGGGAGATCACCAGGTAACATATGTACAACAATGGCAGGGGGATCTCCCTGTGATATGAAAAATCAAAATAATGTAAAAATTATTCTGTAAAAGAAAAACTCGACCTTTTAAATATTTCAAATTTTATTTTGCCCATATTATCTTTTTTTCATGCTGTTAGAAAATGGTCCTTGTTATTTTTACTAAACATTGTAGGCCTGTGATGTTATATGCATATAAGAACAAGATTTTAAAGGGTGTAACATATCGGTGGTCGGCACACGACAATTCAATTACTTATACACATAGCATTGTCAATGAATTTTCTTTGGAATCAGATATACAAAAATACAAGAATCCCATGGAAAACATCGCTCACCTGAGCAATGTGGCTAGGAAAAAAGCAGAAATCAGTTTATTATTGAAAAGTTTAAACCCAATAGTGGTCCCAACCAATCCTTAAAACTGAAAGGGTATGATTTCAACAAACTTGAATCTACACTAACTAAAGATGCTTGCTTTCTTTGACTACCAGCGGCTTTGTTGCCCTTTACATTTGAACTTACACTAATGCCCCACCCCACCCACAGGGGTCATGACTTGAACAAAATTGAATCTACACTACCTGAATATTCTTCCATATGAATAGGACTAATTATGGCTTTGCTGTTCTTAAAAAGAACACTTTTAAATATTTTTTCTCCATTTTTCTATATAAAATTTGGATTCCATGTTTTGGCCCCGCCCTATCCCCAGAGGTCATGATTTGAACAAAATTGAATGTCCACTACCTGAGGATACTTCCATAAAAATATGATCATTTATGCCTTTGCTATTCCTGAGAAGAAGATTTTTAACGAATTTTCCTATATGTTTCTATGTAAAACTTTGATCGGCCATTGTGGCCCTGTCCTACCCTGTGGGGTCATGATTTGAATAATTCTGAATCTACATTACCTAAGGATGCTTCCCTATAAGTTTCATCTTTCCTGGCAAAGTGTTTCTTGAGAAGAAAATTTTTAAAGAATGTTCCTATATATTTCTATGTTAAACTTTGATCGGCCATTGCGGCCCCACCCTACCCCCCCCCCCCCCTGGGGTGATGATTTGAACAAATGTGAATCTACACTACCTGAGGATGCTTCCCTATTAGTTTCATCTTTCCTGGCACAGTGGTTCTTGAAAAGAAAATTTTTAAAACATACCATCAAATTTTCACTATTTCTCAATTATCTCCCTTTAGATATTGGGTGGCCCTTCATTTGAACAAACTTGAATCTCATTTACCTAAGAATACTTTGCAGCAAGATTCGTTGAAATCGGCCCGGCGGTTCTTGAGAAGATGTAGAAAATGTGGAAATTTAACGACGACGACGACAGCGACAGCAACGACGACAGACAACGGACACATTTTGATTGGAAAAGCTCACTTGAGTCTTCAGCTCAGGTGAGCTAAAAATGTCACAAAATTTACCTACATAAATACTCTATAATGTGGCGCACTCGTTATGAAAAATTTATTTATTTGACACCATTAACGATAAAGTTTTAAAATATGATTTTAATTTTTAAAGATTCAGCGCTTCGTGATATATTGCTGACGTGAAGCGTTGTAGTTCAAGCACCTCTTGAATCTACAAAAAATAAATTAATTTCGTATATTTACATTTTTTTCTGATGAGTTTTAAAAAATTACGCCAATTAACTGTCAATTTTAAAGCAAAACAGTTTACATTATAGTTGACGTCTAACACGATATTATGGCGTAACTAACGAGATATTCATGCTCATGCATGGTAGTTCATGAGAAAATGTACAAAATTCTAATTTGTAAGGAATGTTAAAGACAATGTAAATATATGACGATAATTGCTAAAACACCTCATATTAGACATTGTCGAAAAAAGTGACATTTGACAGTAATGTGGAGGTGTAATTATCAAGAAAAACAATCTTGAGCGGGGAAGGACACCTGTATATAGTGACAAGAGATGCTAACTACATTTATGACAAAACATAAGCAAACATATGGTCAAAATATGTTCATCATGATGTAGGCCAATTTCTAAATTTATAGTCTTTTTCAAACTAAAGATATTGAAATGTTTCTGGGACAACGTTAAAATATAATGGAAAGCACTTACCATATCGAGAAGCAGAAAGCATACTTGTATACATGTTAAATATTTCATTCAACTCCATTTCAACTGAAGTAAACCATTAAAGGAACAAAATAGGGCTACTTTGCTTGATGAAGACATATCTCTCCGTGTGTATGAATATCACATGCATGTACTAGGTAACGCATATATCAAGGGGAAGTTTTTTTTTTACTCACAATTTGTCCAATGAGTCTGCTTTCACATTTAGATCGGAGAATTACATGTATGACTCAGTGATTGCATTCAAATTAATATTTTAGAGTAATCTTTCAAGCATGACATTAATCTTAATTATTTTCATCACACCTTTCAGCTTATTTACATGTAATGCTTTGATAAGAAAATTTCAAAAAACATTTCTTAAAATTTTTTTGGTCACATGCAGTGCACAATAGAGTTAAGAAAGTTATCTTTATCTCTTCTCATTCAAAAGTTATGATTGACAGACAATATAAATTTAATGTCCCCTCGCTTTTGTAAAAACGGAGAACAACAATAACATTATATATGTATAAAAGCTCTCTCTCTCTCTCTCTCTCTTCCCCATACCCCAAAAATCATTTTGAAATAGATGGGCCAGATGTTTGCTACGTAAAGAAACAAGAAATAACTAAGAGCATTATGCATCGATATTTATTATCGTTCAGATCAACATATTCACGATGGATTAATATAGCCAATCTTTAAACAAATTCATTGGAGTTTTTAATGGCTATCAACAATTTTAAAAAAAGACACTTAAACAATTTTTTTCATTTTTATCTTTCTATTGTCGTTTGGAATGAAAGATTGTTATATGTATTTAAATGGTTCACATCACTTAATTCCTGATATGTATGAGTACATGTATTCACAGCCGGTTCTTCAATGCATTCGGTATAATGTGGTGGTCCTTCATTTCGTCTACTTTTGTACTTCCTATTAAAAAGAAATTAGCTAAGCATAATCGAATATAATGACTTTGAAATTTGGAAACTAAAGTTCTGATTGTGTCAGAGATCATACCTTCTAAGGAGCAAAGAACATAGAGATAAGTTGATCAATAGTAATAATGCGAGTCCAATCGATAAAGATATGACATAACCATAAAATTCTCTCTCAGAAAAAATGGTCAATGCCGGTTCCAGAGATGCTGAAATATAAACGTGCATGAGCACAAATAATTTTAAAGTCATTAATGCTTTTTCTCTTAATATCTACAATAGGAAAAAGCTGAGAGAGTGAGAGAGAAGAGAGAGAGATTAGATTAGTAACTACCCATATTTCTGTCACATTTCTCTCCTGTGAATGGTTCTGCGCATCCAATTAAACAAAGTCCGTTAGTTTTGTTGCATGTTTGGTTGAAAGCACATTTACCACACTGTTTTAGGCAATCCTCACCATACCAACCGTGCCAACAAACTTGAAATTGTAAGACTTTATGTGTACATTAGAAATGGCAATTTTTTTTTACACAAAAACAGCTTAAGTAGTTTTCCAGTCGTATGTCGAATGTATTAAAAAAAATTTAAAATGTGTCCAAACTCAAAAAAAAAAAAAAAAAAAAAAAAAAAAAAAAAAAAAAAAAATAAAAAAAATTCTCTACAAAGAAAGCTGTCATTTCTACCAGAAAAATACCACTACACAAATTGAACACTATAAATATATATATAATTATCCATTTTAATTTTGATAAAATTGGTTCAAACCGCACGACAAAGAAAATGTGACAATTACTTTCTGAACAGTTAAAACCTATCCACCCAGCTTTACATCCAAATGTACATCCACCGTGTATATTGTCACAGGACCTCTTTCTGCAGTTGTCGCTACATATTTCGGAACAGTTTTTTCCAAACCTTCCATTTGCGCAAGCTTTGAAAATTAAAGAAAAAAGGTAAAATTAACAAGAGGAATCAAATACTTTCAAGAGTAAAATTAATCTTCTAAAAACGCCCGTTGTTTATCGATCTGAATAATTACAATGTAACATACGATTTTCGCAACGATGACTGATATATCCATTTTTGCATCCTTCGATACAATTTCCATTGAAAGGGTTACATTTATTGTTTAGGCAATTACTGCATTGTTTGGAGCAATTTTGTCCATAAAATCCATTTTCACATGCTGGAAAAAAGAAACTGTAATGAAAATTATACGAAACGTAAGGTTGCATATAAAATAACTAAGTAATTCAAGTGTCCATCCAAATATTTGCCAGTGCTGGAAACCAAATGATAAATTTATTTTTCAGAGATAATTCAACATTCTGAAAATTCTTTGTTTCATCATATTTGTGTCTATGTTGTTGGTCATAAAAAACAATTTTAAAACGCTCCTTATCAGTATGTACATTCCTATTGAAAAACTAAGTAATAATATTTTTTAAAATATCTATAATGAAATAAATAGAAATAAAGAATGCTCAAAAGTCCATTAAACAACATAAAATAGGAGCAGGGTAAAGTGGGAAAAAAAAAACCTCTTGATAATACTTCCTTAATGAAAAGAGTTTAAAAAAAATCTCAAAGCTTACAATAATCCACGATTAATTGCAAATTTTGCACTGGCCAACCATAAAACAGCATGAAAAAATCTACCCGGAAAATTCTTCTGCTTATTGTGCGAATAAGCCAGGAAACCAGGTTTTCTTAAATACCTACAAACACTAAGTTATATCTCTCAAGAGTATGGAAGGGAATTACCGCCAAAAGTCTATGTATCTTGCTTTTATTCTTATTCTGCCTACTTCTTTATGCTTCGTTATTATTGTAATTATATGTCACTTTATTGTTTTCATATTCGTCGTTATTACATTTCACTTTGACTTTTATCCTTCTTCATTTTGCCCTTACTTCTATGTAGCTTTATTCTTGTAAATTCATTTTACTTTCTTTTAAATTGATACAGTTTCTTAAATGATAATCTCTATTACGAACGTGAATTCAATCACACAAAGAATGAAGCATATTCAATGAAGACGAATACAGTTGTCAAAATTTAGTGCCGCATTATAACGCTAGGTGGCAGGGGTGTTCGCTACGAGTGTTGGTAAAACTAGGTAAGCAAACCCGGGCCGGGGTTATTCGAGTTTTTTTTTCAATTTTCTGCCTTAATACTTTATCAATCGAACTTCTGAAGACCGGATCCGATCACCCGATCCAATGATGGAAACTCCATATGTATTTTCTGTGGGCACACAGGAATACCGGCCTCTTTTTTTCAGACATAACTTTATATACTTTACTGAATATGTTCATTGAAAGGCCGACCCACTTTTTGTAAGGGTAAGGGTCAAATAAGATTAATGTAGTATAGTAGGGAGAAAATTTAAATTTAATAGTATAGAAGAAGTTGAATCTAACCCCAAACTCACCCCGCCCCCGAAATTGGATTTCATTGACGTCGGAAGCAAAGTGAAAGTTCGGGGGGGGGGGGCAAAGTGTAAGAAATATTTTTTAGACCTTCAAAAAAAAAAACCTGACAAGCAAAAAAAAAAAAAAAAAAAAAAAAAAAAAGAAATGTCCACTGTCCAAACATGAAAATCCTATTTCGTGGTGGTGGTGGTGGGGGGGGATTCGAACTTCAGTGTCAATTTCTTTTCAAAACACAACTACTTTCCCCATTTTAAACCTATCCTGCATCGTGTCCATGGAAAGTAGGGGGGGGGGGCTAAACCTACGCAGCAATGTTCAATGTTTATACTAAGTCTATCTGTGGAAAAAAAAAGTGGGGGCTAAGCCCCTCCCCCCTCCCCGGTTCCGACGCGTATGTATTTTCAAGTTTGGACAATTTCCTTTTTTTTTTTTTTTTTTTTTGGCTTGTCAAGTTCTTTCAGCCGGGTAGCTTGAATTTTCAAAAACGATTCTACGTCACTGTTCTCTCGCCTGAAAAATATAACTCCATTAAAGTTATTTGTTGGATAATTGAATTCCACTTTAATTGACATAAAATGTTAAATATTTTGATACTAGTTACCCCTTATAAATTGAGTTGTTTTTCAGGATCTTCCACTGAACTGAACTTTATTTCACGTCAGATAGTAACTGCTCATGCGTGTAATTCTAGGGACGGGGCTTTGCAAAGGAGTGAGGAGTTTTATGGGTAGGCGAAGTCGGAACCATGCTACACCCCAGGCATACTAGAAACTCCCCAGTCTTTTTTCTGCTATAATATTTTATATTGAAATAGCACTTTTCAATAAAGAAAAGAAATATCTTTAGTACGCACCGTATTTTACATCAGCCAGGAGAGCTAAAAAATCTTAAAACTTGAAAATTCTATTTGGTGGTGGTGGTGGGGGGGGGATCGTCAACTTTTTTCAATACCAAATTTTACTCATATGCCACTAAGTACATGACTTTTAATATTTCATATATAAATTGACTATTAGTACTGCAAAAAAAAGTGTAAGGGATGGGGGCAACAAGCCTTTCGCTGAACTTTTCCAGTAGTAGAAAGTCTGTTACGTTTAGGAAAATGTTTCGTGGCCACCCTCCCCTCAACCGGTGAAAATTACCCCATAGGAGGTCGTACAGACGGAAGTCAGTATATTTATTGAGACTTGGGGGTGTTATAATGATTGTACATTGTATAACGTCCATTTAAATTCGAGAATTTTTAACTCAAATGGAGAAGCCACCTCTTGCCGGTGGAGAGCTGGAAATTTGTCCTATATACTCGGCACTTATATAGCCATTGAGCAGTGAGGGATTTTTTTTTCACGCCAGCACCTACTGCGATACGGGACCTCGGATAATACGGTCTAGATCTCATCCGAAGGACCGAACTACACGTCCCATAGTGGTATTGATCGGCTCCTTACTACTGTGTTTCGTGACTCTAGAGCAGACGCCGTAACCACAGTGCCACGCGGGCGACTGCAACCGGGGGGTGGGGGGTGGGCTGCATCCAGGGGGGGGGGGGAGGAAGTCATTATCCATTTGTACTCGTGAAGATTATCTGTTTAACTATATGTATAAATGATTTAATTATTAACCACTATTAAAATGATATCATTCAAACATTTATTCATATAAGACGGATAAGTTTTCTTCAAAAACTGAAAACGTTAGTATACAAACGTTGTTTTACAATTTAAAAAAACTATTCGGGGGAGGGGTTGCTATGAAGGGGGACGAATTGCTTTATACAGCGAGATTTCCCACGGAAGACTAGCTATATATTGAAACTTCCCCGGGGGAAGTCTCACTGTATAGTCTTCCGAAGGAAGCACCACTATGTAGTCAGTCTTCCAGGGGAAATCTTACCATCTTCCGAGGGAATGGCATTATTGGGTACATATACCTGAACTTATAACAAACATCATTTGAAAATTTTAGTTCGATTGATAAAGTATTAAGGCAGAAAATTGAAAAAACTCGAATAAAACCCCGGCCCGGGTTTGCTTACCTAGTTTTACCAACACTCGTAGCGAACACCCCTGCCACCTAGCGTTATAATGCGGCACTAAATTTTGACAACTGTATTCGTCTTCATTGAATATGCTTCTTCTTTGTGTGATTGAATTCACGTTCGTAATAGAGATAATCATTTAAGAAACTGTATCAATTTAAAAGAAAGTAAAATGAATTTACAAGAATAAAGCAACATAGAAGTAAGGGCAAAATGAAGAAGGATAAAAGTCAAAGTGAAATGTAATAACGACGAATATGAAAACAATAAAGTGACATATAATTACAATAATAACGAAGCATAAAGAAGTAGGCAGAATAAGAATAAAAGCAAGACACATAGACTTTTGGCGGTAATTCCCTTCCATACAAGAGAAAGTGTGTAGGGAAGACCATCAATACCAATAATATCAGATGGTAGAATTAAGGCAAATGACATGTCTCTCCATGCAGTCAGCACTGCCATGAAATAAATGTATCTGTTCAAATCTTTTATCAAAAAAAAAAAAAGAAAAGAAAAGGAAAACAACAGAATTTACAAAAAACTATCACTTTCTTCAATTTTCTCTCACTTTCTGGTTAGAATAATACAATAATACATTACCCAAAACTTGCACTTCGCATAATTCCGTTACAACACCAGTTGTCTGGTATTCATCTGGATATGTCACACCACTTATTCTTTCATTGTAATATGTAACAAAACGCCCTTTAATGGAGCATACGATGATAAAATTTAACAAAGGTAATTCTGGTCCGTCCTTGTAACACAGATAACTGTTCCGGATTTCTGTTGTGTTTGAAACGAACAACGAAAAACCCGCCAACCGTCCTCTTTGTCTTTTATCTTAGAAAACAAAAGCAAAAAAACATACATGTTTAAAGAAAAAACCAAACAATCAGTATTTAAATTGTGAAACCCGCGCAATCTTGGATGTATAAAGATCTATTAAAGCTATAACCAAAATTACGTATAATTTAAAGCAATATGAGCTGCATGTTTGACATCGTAAAAAATGTTGCAAATTTACTATTTCAATGACAGAAAAAAGAACATGTATACACTTTTGTTGTTCGTATTTGCTATCACTTTTTATACGCTCTGATTAAGGCAAAATTGAATTATTGTCGTCCTGTACAATAATGGTTTCTTATATAATACTGTATATTCGGTTGTACAGAAATATTTCTTCTGAAACATTTTAAATTTTATTTTGGTTTTATTGATCATAAGGCTTTAGATTACATACAGATTTATCATAATAACACATTTTACCATCAAAATAAAATTTTCAAAAATGCAGCTCATATTGCTTTAAGTTATTTTTAGAATCACAAGGAATAGTCGAAAAAAAATTTGGAGTTAATTCAAATCTTGGTCGTTTTATTTAAGTTAAATATAATTTTAGTCACTTTATTTATATCCCATGGAGTTACATTGTATTCGTAATATTGTCAAACCTATAACGCAATGTGTTCCAATCCATTACCACGCGCATATTCTCACCTTGCCCTTAGCGATATGGTTCGAAATTGTGAAACTGCAAAAGAGTTTCTCTCAGGCAACCTTATTTATGGAAATTTTAGGACTAAAAAACTTGAATCATGCTTACTTTTTAATGATATACTTTCATGAAATATATTGAGATAATTACGAACTAAATTCAAGATCAAAATGATATTATACAATACAAATTTGGGGCAAAGAAAACATACTTTTTAAACATCAGAGGTGGGATCAAGTTCCATGGAGAAGTACGAATTTCCAGCTGTCCTGTAACGTGCCTAGTACAGCTGCTCCTTGTCATGATATAGGGAAAATGACGGGAAAATATAAATAGCATGTCTTTACAATGTAATACGTAATAAAACGGTAATGGCCAATATTTGCCCCCCAAAACAAACTTGACGGAGAAGTTTCAACAAAAACAAAATAAATCAGATGCTTATATATAATAATTCTAAAAAATGATTAAAACATCATCCATGTCCTGCAAATATGTCCCGATGCGCAAATGACGCAATATCAAAAAAAAAAAATATTGAAGAAATAAAGTCCGCCTTTTCGTGAATGTTGCAGAATAACCTCCGAGGTTGAGAAATGTTGTTTGAAAGACAAAAGCCGAGGCTTTTATATTTCAAACAACATTTCGAGACCGAGGAGGTTATTCTGCATCATTCACGGTAACAAGGACATTATTTTTATTCTACTATTTAGCTCTAAAATATGACTGATCGTTTATCTAAAGAGAAACGAATTAGGTCACCTTGTTGATATTACGCTGTTCCATTTAGCACCAGATTGTAAATTTGTTTGTTTACCTGTGCATGGAATGCAGATGATTTGGGCTTTCTTCGCATTAAAATTAACGTTTTATTAGCTCACCTGAGCCGAAGGCTCAAGTGAGCTTTTCTGATCACATTTTGTCCGTCGTCCGTCCGTCTGTCCGTCTGTAAACTTTTCACATTTTCGACTTCTTCTCAAGAACCACTGGGCCAATTTAGACCAAACTTGGTACAAAGCATCATTGGGTAAAGGGAAATTTAAATTGTTAAAATGAAGGGACATATCACCTCGCAAGGGGAGATAATCAAGAAAAGACAAAAATAGGGTTGGGTCATTAAAAAATCTTCTCAAAAACCACTGGGCCAGTAAAGCTGAAACGTATGTGGAAGCATCCTGGGGTAGTGTAGATTCTAAATTGTTCAAATCATGACCCCCGGGGGAAGGGCGGGGCCACAATGGGGAATCAAAGTTTTATATAGAAATATATAGGAAAAATCTTTGAAAATCTTCTTCTCAAGAACCACTGGGCCAGAAAAGCTGAAACTTATGTGGAAGCATCCTGGTATAGTGTAGATTCTAAATTGTTCACATCATGACCCCCGGGGGAAGGGCGGGGCCACAATGGGGAATCAAAGTTTTACATAGAAATATATAGGAAAAATCTTTGAAAATCTTCTTCTCAAGAACCACTGGGCCAGTAAAGCTGAAACTTATGTGGAAGCATCCTGGTATAATGAAGATTCTAAGTTGTACACATAATGACCCCCGGGGGAAGGGCGGGGCCACAATGGGGAACCAAACTTTTATATAGAAATATATAGGAAAAATCTTTGAAAATCTTCTTCTCAAGAACCACTGGGCCAGAAAAGCTGAAACTTATGTGGAAGCATCCTGGTATAGTGTAGGTTCTAAATTGTTCAAATCATGACACCCGGGGGAAGGGCGGGGCCACAATAGGGTATCAAATTTTTACATAGAAATATATAGGAAAAATCTTTGAATATCTTCTTCTCAAGAACCACTGGGCCAGAAAATCTGAAACGTATGTGGAGGCATCCTGGTATAATGTAGATTCTAAATTGTTCAAATCATGATCCCAGGGGGAAGGGCGGGGCCACAATGGGGAATCAAAGTTTAATATAGAAATATATAGGAAAAATCTTTGAAAATCTTCTTCTCAAGAACCACTGGGCCTGAAAAGTGAAGCTTATGTGAAAGCATCCTGGGGTAGTGTAAATTCTAAATTGTAGGAATCATGACCCCCGGGGGAAGGGCGGGGCCATTATAGGGAATCAAAGTTTTATATAGAAATATATAGGAAAATTTTTTGAAAATCTTCTTCTCAAGAACCACTGGGCCAGAAAAGCTGAAACTTATGTGGAAGCATCCTGGTATAGTGTAGATTCTAAATTGTTCACATCATGACCCCCGGGGGAAGGGCGGGGCCACAATGGGGAATCAAAGTTTTACATAGAAATATATAGGAAAAATCTTTGAAAATCTTCTTCTCAAGAACCACTGGGCCAGTAAAGCTGAAACTTATGTGGAAGCATCCTGGTATAATGAAGATTCTAAGTTGTACACATAATGACCCCCGGGGGAAGGGCGGGGCCACAATGGGGAACCAAACTTTTATATAGAAATATATAGGAAAAATCTTTGAAAATCTTCTTCTCAAGAACCACTGGGCCAGAAAAGCTGAAACTTATGTGGAAGCATCCTGGTATAGTGTAGGTTCTAAATTGTTCAAATCATGACACCCGGGGGAAGGGCGGGGCCACAATAGGGTATCAAATTTTTACATAGAAATATATAGGAAAAATCTTTGAATATCTTCTTCTCAAGAACCACTGGGCCAGAAAATCTGAAACGTATGTGGAGGCATCCTGGTATAATGAAGATTCTAAGTTGTACAAATAATGACCCCCGGGGGAAGGGCGGGGCCACAATGGGGAATCAAAGTTTTACATAGAAATATATAGGAAAAATATTTGAAAATCTTCTTCTCAAGAACCACTGGGCCTGAAAAAGTGAAGCTTATGTGAAAGCATCCTGGGGTAGTGTAGATTCTAAATTGTAGGAATCATGACCCCCGGGGGAAGGGCGGGGCCATTATAGGGAATCAAAGTTTTATATAGAAATATATAGGAAAAATCTTTGAAAATCTTCTTCTCAAGAACCACTGGGCCAGAAAAGCTGAAACTTATGTGGAAGCATCCTGGTATAGTGTAGGTTCTAAATTGTTCACATCATGACCCCCGGGGGAAGGGCGGGGCCACAATGGGGAATCAAAGTTTTATATAGAAATATATAGGAAAAATCTTTGAAAATCTTCTTCTCAAGAACCACTGGGCCTGAAAAAGTGAAGCTTATGTGAAAGCATCCTGGGGTAGTGTAAATTCTAAATTGTAGGAATCATGACCCCCGGGGGAAGGGCGGGGCCATTATAGGGAATCAAAGTTTTATATAGAAATATATAGGAAAAATCTTTAAAAATCTTCTTCTCAAGAACCACTGGGCCAGAAAAGCTGAAACTTATGTGGAAGCATCCTGGTATAGTGTAGATTCTAAATTGTTCACATCATGACCCCCGGGGGAAGGGCGGGGCCACAATGGGGAATCAAAGTTTTACATAGAAATATATAGGAAAAATCTTTGAAAATCTTCTTCTCAAGAACCACTGGGCCAGTAAAGCTGAAACTTATGTGGAAGCATCCTGGTATAATGAAGATTCTAAGTTGTACAAATAATGACCCCCGGGGGAAGGGCGGGGCCACAATGGGGAACCAAACTTTTATATAGAAATATATAGGAAAAATCTTTGAAAATCTTCTTCTCAAGAACCACTGGGCCAGAAAAGCTGAAACTTATGTGGAAGCATCCTGGTATAGTGTAGGTTCTAAATTGTTCAAATCATGACACCCGGGGGAAGGGCGGGGCCACAATAGGGTATCAAATTTTTACATAGAAATATATAGGAAAAATCTTTGAATATCTTCTTCTCAAGAACCACTGGGCCAGAAAAGCTGAAACGTATGTGGAGGCATCCTGGTATAATGTAGATTCTAAATTGTTCAAATCATGATCCCAGGGGGAAGGGCGGGGCCACAATGGGGAATCAAAGTTTAATATAGAAATATATAGGAAAAATCTTTGAAAATCTTCTTCTCAAGAACCACTGGGCCTGAAAAAGTGAAGCTTGTGTGAAAGCATCCTGGGGTAGTGTAAATTCTAAATTGTAGGAATCATGACCCCCGGGGGAAGGGCGGGGCCATTATAGGGAATCAAAGTTTTACATAGAAATATATAGGAAAAATCTTTGAAAATCTTCTTCTCAGGAACCACTGGGCCAAAAAAGCTGAAACATATGTGCCCATGGAAGATTCATGGGGTAGTGTAGATTTCAAAATGTCTAAATTATGATCAGTGGGGTAGGGTGGGGATGCATTATGTATAACAAGGGGGAAATCTGGTAAAGAACAGAATGGTCAAAGCTTCTCAGGTGAGCGATGTGACCCATGGGCCTCCTGTTAATTATAAATTTGTTTATACATATATTGATTAATTTTAATGAATGTACACTAACAAAATCAGTCTTCTATTCTACCGCTTTATTACTTAAATTACGGGGTTAAAGTATGGCGTAGGGAGGTCCGTGGAATAGCCCCTCTTAGCTATAAAAATCGACTTTATCAGCTACTTTATGAAATTTACATGTGTTTAGACTGCAGAGACGACACATCGATGTGGTCTAAATAAGTATTTCAATCCTAAGTAAAAAATTTATTTCAAATGCTCAGGTTTGAAACGTGTTTTTGATCTGATAATTTTGATGATGGTAGTTATTTATTGAAAAATAATGTCCGCGGCATTTCTTTGATCCCAGCAATAATCGTAGTAGAATATTTGATAGCTTATTGATTTATTCCGAATTCAAGGGCAAACTTTATTAAAATTTATATCAGTGGAAAGTACTTAAAAATCACTTTAAGTAAATGTAAGTTTCATCCGATCTGATAAGTTATAATGAAAATTACAAAAGAATCAAAATGGCTTGCGGGAGTATCCACTAGCTGGCTAAATAACCTCAAACTAGCTGGCTAAAATAACCTCAAACTTTTTTATAATGCAGATTTTTATATTTATGTACGTATTTTTGTACTCTTAAAATTTAAAATGTTAATTAAGAAATAAAATATAATTTTAGAGTTTCATTGGGGTATGAAGTCGGTCACGTGATCAAATTCTATAACGCCCGAAGGGCGTTTTAATAGATTTGACGTTTTTAGTCGTGTTACAAAGATAAATATGCAATCATTTAACATTTGTTACCTACTTGAATCCGCACCATAGTCTTTAAACTGTATCCTGATACTATAAATACTTTTGATGTCTCCAAGGTCTACTCTCCACCACACGGTTTTAGAAGAATTCGACAGACCAATTGTGTCGGCTCTCATACATGTAGACATGTTGCCGTCAACTGCGTTGTTTGATGCATACAAATTACAGAGTTGAGAGTGACATGTCCACAATGAACTTTGTGTGGTAATCTTACCCACTGACAAGTTATCTGAAGTGAAAACATTGACTTAATAAATTCATAGTAGCGCATCCTGAGATACTAGAAAAATGATAATATAAGGAACAAAAACAATTTTGATAATTCTTTAATCTTTTTTCAAATATGATCAGAAAATTATGGAAACTTTTCTTACACCAGCGAAAAAATGACCTTTTTAAAAATTGACAACTATGGAAACTTACTGTAGAAATGTACACGTAATAAACGATTCCATGAATGCGCTTATCTTTGCTCTACATGTTATAGACTTAGAACATTTTAATAGATAATATATTGTTTTCCTTTAATGGGGATAAAACGGTTTGTTTTATTAATATAAGGTATTGTATAGCGTTGATGTCGTTATCTATAAGCTTAAAAGCTTTCAGAATTAACACTTCAAACATAAGGCTGCTTGATATTACCCGTATACATTCGCCTAACAAAAATATTCCTACCAAAACGAATGTTTTTGCATTAAAAAAAATGACAAGGGGTCATTATTCTACGGGGTCATTTTTCTACAATGCACACGAAGAAAAACGACCCCAAGGCCATAATTTCTACAGAAAAGTAGGTCATTTTTCTACGTAGAATATTGACCAGGGGGTCAAATTTCTACGTAGAAAAATGACCCCCGGTCAATATTCTACGGGGGTCACTTTTCGTCGTTACACCGGCGAAGCGGAAATCAGCACCTACGAGTGGGCCTAAACCAAAAAGTGGGATCAGTCGAATCTACCGAAGTTTCATCAGAGGAAAACATCCCTGTACAGACATTATTGTTACCATGGTTACTACAAGGGTGGTTACTTTTTCCACTAGTCCTAGCAATGAATCTGTTGTCAATGTACAGACTGCCAATCATGTTCATACATCAGGTAATGAGATCGATGGTACATGCGGTAGTTTGGGGGTAAATGCTACAGAGTGAATCAAACAAAAATGTTAAGGGCGAATACATTGATTTAGGTCAGCTTCTATCCAATCCGGTCCCGATGGTTGATAAGCAAACACTAACAGTCTCTAATGGTCAAGTAGTAATTGAACCGAAATGGGTTTCAGTTAAAATTACAAACGTACAGCAGTGGACTGATGCATTTTTGATTTTCTCTTCAGTATATGCCACAGTACACCCTACAGAATTTCTTTTTTGGCTTGTTTAAATACATCCACACTGTTTGTCTAGGGGCTAGCAGGTAGGCTGTCAAATATAAGGTGCAAGTTTTATAATGAGCAATATCAAATGAGAATTGCAAGGAATTCAAGTGTTTCATGAAGAATAGTTGATCAGGAGCTTTAGCTACTGTACATGGTACCATCGTTTATTGGTCCAGTGCAAAAATCTTCAAGGGGGGGGGGGGTGTAAAATGCTATGACTATAACAATTATCAGGTTTGTGTAAAACAGCAGTGCAATTATTTACATAAATGTTTGAACTGTAGCGGGCCTCATCCATGTAAAAAGGCCCGTCTGGTAAATATCAATATTCTTCTAGAGATTTTTCAGGTCAAAGATACCCATTATAATACAGGAACCAGGGACATTCATCAAGACCACCACAGACTTGAGCATGATTCCCCAGTGCATCACTATCTGCAGGACCTGGGTTATTCCACAGTTAAAGTAGAAGTTCTTGCAGCTTATTTACAAACTCTGATTATAATAGGAAGAGTTCAGAAATTTTGCCAAAGGGGTTTTATGAGGGTTTCTAAATTACAATGGTCCAAAGGGTAGCTACTATTGTTTTAATTTAAAGTCAGCTAGGGATAATGAGCTTGGAATTCTAAAAAAAAAGTTTTAAGAGTTAATGCTGGAAGAGTTACTGGCCCATTCCATTCAAGACCCTTTTCCAGTCTTAGGCTTTAATTCACCTGTAGGTTAAGGTACAGAAAAAGATGGATCATTTAAGTTGATTCATCATTTATCTTAACCGGAAAACTTGAGTGTTAATTCCTTTATTGAGCCATCTTTCTCCTCAGTCAATTACTTCTCATCATTAGATGATGTGGTTAGGTAACAAAGTTTGTTGGGTAAGGGGGCCTTGATGGGTAAAGTGGACCTCAATTCTGCATTTAAGTTGCTTCCTGTTCACCTGGCAGATCTTTGAGCTTTTAGGTTTTAATTAAATAATTTGTGGTGTCTTGTAGTCTTTTGAGGTTTTTTTTAGTCATATTTAGAATGGATATTGAAGCAACAGTCTGGACAGAAATCTGTTGTGCATCACTTAGATGATTCTTTTATTTCCTGGTAGGGTAGGTAGGAATACATGTGATGAACTCACGTCATTTTTTGTGGGGCTATGCGAGCAGTTAGGTGTCCCCTCAATAGCTGATGATAAAACAGGGTGGCCTTCCACTTCCCTGACCTTTTTGGGTTTTGAGTTAGATTCAGTTGAAATGATGTTAAGAGTCCCAGTTGATAGTAGAATAGTTTAAAGGATTTGAACAACAGTTTTATGTCAGAAAAGAAGGCTACTCTAAAGGAATTTAAGGCTCTTGCAGGTTTGTTGAATTTTTGTTTGTGTGTCACTCTGTCAGGCCGGGCATTCACTAGGCATAATTTATGACAACATGCAAGGGGTCTGTAAACTACATCACTTTATCAGGGTTTCGGTGGTGGTTAAGGAGGACTTGGAAGTGTGGCTTCCTTTTTTAGATTTGTTCAATGGCTGCTGCTACTTTCCACAAATTGGCTGAGTAGATGATGATCAACATCAATTATTTACTGACAGTGCAGGGAATTCAAAATTAGGTTATGGTGCTTTCTTTAAGAATCATTGGTTGTTTTTCAAGAGGCCAAGTGAATTGGCTGGTACTGAAGTTATCAGGGACATCACATGTCTGATCAAAATTTGTCCGTTGTCTGTCGTTGTTGTCGTAGTTGTCGTAGTCGTTGTCGTTGTTGTAAACTTTTCACATTTTCATCTTCTTCTCAAGAACCACTGGGCCAATTTCAACCAAACTTGGCACAAAGTATCCTTGGGTGTAGGGGATTCAAGTTTGTTCAAATGAAGGGTCACGCCCTTTTCCAATGGGAGAGAATTATGAATTGGAGAAAAATTAATGGCATTTTAAAAAAATCTTCTTCTCAAGAACCACTGGGCCAGGAAAGATGAAACTCATGTGGAATCATCCTCAGGTAGTGTAGATTCAAATTTGTTCAAATCATGACCCCCTGGGCTAGGGTGGGGCCAAAATGGCCGATCAAAGTTTTACATAGGAATATATAGGAAAAATCTTTAAAAATCTTCTTCTCAAGAACCACTGGGCCAGAAAGGTTGAAACTCATGTGGAATCATCCTCAGGTAGTGTAGATTCAAGATTGTTCAAATCATGACCCCCGGGGGAAGGTAGGGGCCAAAATGGCCGATCAATGTTTTGCATAGAAATATATAGGGAAAATCTTTAAAAATCTTCTCAAGATTCATTGAGACAGGATATATAAAACTCGTGTGAAATCATCCTCAGGTAGTGTAGATTCAAGTTTGTTCAAATCATGACCCCCGGGGGTAGGGTGGGGCCAAAATGGCCAATCAAAGTTTTACATAGGAATATACAGGAAAAATCTTTAAAAATCTTCTTCTCAAGGACCACAGTGCCAGGAAACATGAAACTCAAGTGGAATCATCCTCAGGTAGTGTAGATTTATGTTAGTTCAAATCATGACCCCCGGGGGTAGGGTGGGGCCAAAATAGCCGATCAAAGTTTTACATAGGAATGTATAGGAAAAATCTTTTAAAATCTTCTTCTCAAGAACCACTGGGCCAGGAAAGATGAAACTCATGTGGATTCATCCTCAGGTAGTGTAAATTCAAGTTTGTTTTAATCATGACCCCCCGGGGGTAGGGTGGGGCCAAAATGGCCGCTCAATGTTTTGCATAGGAATATATAGGGAAAATCTTTAAAAATCTTCTTCTCAAGATTCATTGAGACAGGATAGATAAAACTCATGTGAAATCATCCTCAAGTAGTATAGATTTAATTTTTTTAAATCATGACCCCCGCGGGAAGGTAGGGGCCAAAATGGCCGATCAAAGTTTTACATAGGAATATATAGGAAAAATCTTTAAAAATCTTCTTCTCAAGAACCACTGGGCCAGAAAGGTTGAAACTCATGTGGAATCATCCTCAGGTAGTGTAGATTCAAGTTTGTTCAAATCATGACCCCCGGGGGTAGGGTGGGGCCAAAATGGCCGATCCAAGTTTTGCATAGGAATATATAGGGAAAATCTTTAAAAATCTTCTTCTCAAGATTCATTGAGACAGGATAGATAAAACTCATGTGAAATCATCCTCAAGGAGTATAGATTTAATTTTTTTAAATCATGACCCCCGCGGGAAGGTAGGGGCCAAAATGGCCGATCAAAGTTTTACATAGGAATATATAGGAAAAATCTTTAAAAATCTTCTTCTCAAGAACCACTGGGCCAGAAAGGTTAAAACTCATGTGGAATCATCCCCAGGTAGTGTAGATTCAAGTTTGTTCAAATCATGACCCCCGGGGGTAGGGTGGGGCCAAAATGGCCGATCAAAGTTTTACATAGGGATATATATAGGAAAAATCTTTAAAAATCTTCTCAAGAACCACTGGGCCAGGAAACATGAAACTCATGTGGAATCATCCTCAGGTAGTGTAAATTCAAGTTTATTCAAATCATGACCCCCGAGGGTAGGGTGGGGCCAAAATGACCGATCAAAGTTTTAAATAGAAATATATATAGAAAATCTTTAAAAATCTTTTCAAGAACCAATGGGCCAGGAAAGATGAAACTCATGTGGAATCATCCTCAGGTAGTGTAGATTCAAGTTTGTTCAAATCATGACCCCCGGGGGTAGGGTGGGGCAGAAAATGGCCGATCAAAATTTAAAAATCTTCTTCTCAAGAACCACTGGGCCAGAAAAGATGAAACTCATGTGGAATCATTTCAGGTAGAGTAGATTCAAGTTTGTTAAAATCATGACCCCCGGGGAAGGTAGGGGCCAAAATGGTCGATCAAAGTTTTTCAT